GCATTTCTTTGAATTTATTAAATAAATTATGGTAATACAGAATAACACATAAAGGAAGAGCATATGTAATGTACAAAAAGGATGAGGGAGAATAATGATAATGAACAAGAATAATAACAATAATGGAATATCACTTTATATCACAACTTTTCATGTGGCGCTTCTTTCTTGCACTGGACGCCATGGGAGTCAGCGAATCAGAGCACCACGCGCGGAAGCAAGAAGAAATGCACGGGCGCAGACTACCCTCGCACGTCAGTCGCCGTCACTGCACCGTCACTGCACGACGAAATTATGTACACCTGTGCAAGCGCTTGGCCCGTCCACAGCGTCTTCTGGCACTGCTCCCAAAGCAGCTTTTGTGGCGCGTTGTCTTAGCCTCCTTAGAATCGTGTTGCATTTTCTTTTGTCTTCGAATCCATAAGGCTTGTCTTGTTTCTTCTCTCGGAAACCTCGAACCTGATCCTCGCCTCCTACTTCCTCCCAGGATTCTTGGCCCTTCCTTCGCCTCCTCTTGAATACTTGAGCCTCGTCTTCGGTCCCTCTAAGAATCCTTCCCCCTCGCCTTCGCCTCCAACGCTCACAATCCTTGCCGTGAATCTCGCTCGAAGGGCTCAGTACATATCCACCTGAGGGAGGCTGGCCTTGCCCTTCACGTGCCGTCGCCGAAGCAGGCACACGATGACGGCCACGAAGGTGACGAAGGTGAAGGCGCAGGCGACGCTGATGGCGATGATGGACATGTACGACAGCGGGACCTCCGACCACCACGTCCAAGCTGCTGCCGTCGCCTGGTGCTCTGGGGGCGAAGGCAGAGAGGAAAATGAGGGTTTGGGTCCTTGGATGGGGTTTAGTGGCAGGGGTTTGACTTGAGGAGGAGTGGATGCGAACTTGGATGGGAAGAAGAAGGGTGAGCAGTTTATGTGACAGGCGTCGGTGCCATTTATTGACAGCTAAGGTTTGGGAGGAGGAACAGTGCATGCGAACCTTTGACGCGATAGTAAAATAATGATTAGTTTGAATAGTTTGATTCTATGATTTTCATGATAGAACGCAGATCAGTACAGATCAATGCATCCTAACTTTGATATGATAAATACATTTTCACTTATTTATTATGTCAAAGTTGGGTTAAACTAACGGGGTCCATTGATAACAACTCCCGAAAAAGAGAACGGCGCCCACCCGCTTCGCCGAGAGGCACTGACAAAGGAACTAACATTAGGAACCCGACTGACCTTCCCCGCAGGAGACGAACCCGTAGGACTCGGACCCCAGCCATAGTCTCTGGCCGGGGCACAGCGAGGTGACTCCCCTGCCGTCCTCCAGGTGGTTGTAGGTGAAAGTGGTTTTGTTGTGGCGCTGGACGTAGTAGAGCACGCCGGACCGCAGCTCGCAGCCGCTGTTGTAGTTGGAGCCGTAGTAGACCAGCCTGAAGGTGTGCGACACGTCGTACATGCGGTTCAGGTTGATGATCTTGCGCTGGTAGGGGGCCACGGGGTGCAGCAGGGGGTCGCTCGGGAGGTGGCACTCTGCGGGGAGGGAGAGGGAAGATGACTACAGGATGCCATGGGCGCCGGCAGGCTTAGGGGCGCGTGTATGGAATCATGCATGCCCGTGAACAGGCGCGCACGCACGCGCTCAAACACAGACACCACACACACACACACAGACACAGAGAGAGAAAGAGAGAGAGAGAGAGAGAGAGAGAGAGAGAGAGAGAGAGAGAGAGAGAGAGAGAGAGATAGAATAAGTGTTTTCAAGAAAGATGATAATCAGATTTTTCATTTGGGTCAAAATCATGTATTGAAAGAGGAGCATTCATACTGGCTTGAAGCAGCTACCATAGTTAAGACTGAGTTTCAAGTCCACAGCAGTAGTGAAACAGAGCTTATTATTACAAATATTACAAAACAGAACGAATGACGTCACCGCGCCAAAGAAACCCTTATTGACACATTTCAATTAAAACTTCACTAAAAATAACATTACAAGCAGAGCAAGAACCCAAAATAGGCAGTAGTGTCGACAACGCCCTGACGAGTCCATTGCTCAAGCCGTCTATTTTAGCTCGCGTTTCCGCGATAATCATTATTGCACAGTGTAGAAACGATGGGAAATCCGCATTGCACACTTGGATAAATGGCAAATCCATAACACTTGGATAAATTAACATAATGGATAAATGGCAAATCCATACACTTGGATAAATGGAAAAACATAATGCTGGGATAAATGGCAAATCACACACCCATATTCCACACTTGGATAAATGGCAAAAACATAATGCACACTTGGATAAATGGCAAATCCATATTCCACACTTGGATAAATGGCAAAAACATAATGCACACTTGGATAAATGGCAAATCCATATTCCACACTTGGATAAATGGGAAAAACATAATGCACACTTGGATAAATGGCAAATCCATATTCCGCACTTGGATAAATGGCAAAAACATAATGCACACTTGGATAAATGGCAAAAACATAATGCACACTTGGATAAATGGCAAATCCACATTGCCCACTTGGATAAATGGTCCACTTGGATAATGGCAAAAACATAATGCACACTTGGATAAATGGCAAAAGCATAATGCACACTTGGATAAATGGCAAATCCACATTGCACGCTTGGATAAATGGTAAACCATTAGCTCATCGTACTTCAGATAACTAGGATAATGAGTACTCTGTTCAATAGTATTTCTTGCATCGTCATTCTTCCCTAAGGCCAGCAGCAGGAATTTTCTCTTCGTTGTACTTAAAAACCGTGTTTGAAAGAAAATGAGGCCTTCTCGTTCACAGCACACAATCATGTTCTTAGAAATCCTTTTGCCAAGAAGAAAAGGGCATGCCAATGTAACAAAAGGACATGAAAAGTATGCTCTGCATCTGACGGTTCTGTTGCACAATGCAAGCGCGAGGATTTTAGCGGGAGAAATGGCGTCGGAACCTGATTTGCGTCGCGGAAGTTCTTTGAGCGCACGGCCGTTGGCGCTGAAGATAAAGGATAAGGATTAAACCCACATTAAAACTGAGTGGGAGGGGCATCTACATCCTTTTTTTTCTTTTAAGTATGACATTTACCTTATTGTAATATATTAGATTGCGCGCAGGTAGACGTAAACGCACACGTACGCGCGTGCAGACACACACACACACACACACACACACACACACACACACACACACACACACACACACACACACACACACACACACACACACACACACACACACACACACACACACACACACACACACACACACACACACACACACACACACTCACTCACTCACTCACTCACTCACTCACTCACTCACTCACTCACTCACAATCTCTCCCTCTCTCCCAAATATATATATATATATATATATATATATATATATATATATATATATTATATATATATATATATATATATATATATATATATATATATATATATATATATATATATATATATATATATATATATATATATATATATATATATATATATATATATATATATATATATATATATATTATATATATATATATATATATATACATACATACATACATACATATACATTTCTATCAATCCTTCCATGAATGCATGCATACATACATAAATACGTAAATTCAAAGCAAGATTCATGCATACGTATATAAAACATGTTTATATATGTATAATGTATGCATTATTCACTCATGCATAATACTTTAAACACATGTGCTTCTTTACCCAGTTTGCTGCCCACGTTGTGTTCTGTTTTCTTCATTGTTTTGTTAAAGATTTTCATCAGTTTGGAGCGAGCTGTATATTTGTGCACTGAAGATTAATCGCGACAGTATCTTATTATTATTATTATTTTTTTTTTGTATTCTGATGGAAGAAAAATTATTATTAGATTTTTTATCTGTTTATTTTCAGTTTCCAAAAGTTAGGACGAATGACCACGTATATCGTGTTTATGATTGGTGTTGTCGTATTTCGGTGATGAATAGGTGTAATATGATAATAATGATAATAAACGTGTTTCATGTATGGTTTTAGAAAATATATATAAATGTATTGTAAAATACACGCTTCACATTCCAAAACATAGATTGAAAATGCATTATCCTTTTTTTTAGGGAAACATCTGGTATTTTTTTGCCTCCCTGGCAAAATTATTGATGCTGGTAACCGTGGCATGTTATTGACATCATTAATTAAATAATTAATTACCAACCTCATCAAGCGGTCGCATCGAGCCCGTGCTATGCAGTGGGCGGGAGGGGGTTAGCTTAATATGAGCTTTATATCATCGACGTATCAGCACTGGAAGGCATGCTCTTCGTCGAAACAGCTGATCCCGTTGTTGCTTATCGGCGCATGTAAAGTTGATATCATGTTGATCACCGTGGCGACTGTTTGTCCCACGGTGAAATATATTCTTATAATTTGTGAGGAGGGCGGCCACGTGTATGTTGCAAGGCATCCTGTGGGCGCCATCGAAAAAGTAGATAACGTTCGAAGCACGAACAGGAAAGGCTTATCAAGGCGCCTGACGTGGGAGCCGAGAGCGCCATGTGGCTCTGACCCTCTTTTGGCGGCGGACATTTTTTTTGTGGCATTCATCAAAGGGCGCGCGTATTTACCTTTGCGTGCGTGGAGGAGGAAGAGGGGGTGGAAAGGGGACGATCTGTGGAGCTGAGATGAAGGTCAGAGGAAGTTGAGGGGGGAGGGGGTGTCGTTCGCGTTCATAAGAGCGGGGTTTGCGTGTTGGTGGCGGGAGGGGGGGGGGGGCTACGGAGGGGCGCACCTGTCTCATGGATGTTGTAATCGAGTTTGTGACTGTGTTGCTGATCATCATTCGAGGGAGGGGCGTGCTGTATGGTAATTAATGGTGAATGCAGGCTTGAATGCTGTATTAAAGTGATCTGTACAAGCCTGGCGCGCTGGGCATGGGTAGAGAGGAATTCGTGCAGTGGTGCGACAAGAAGTACAGAGTCACAGTCACTCAGCTTTTTTTCTCTTGCCAAAAAAGGGTGTTTGGTTGCCCAAAGCGCGCGCCCGCATTACGTAACGATCATTAGTAGATCATGGCGTTGATTACTCTACATCGCGCCAAATGCTTTTGCCTCTCAGATATGCGTGTTTTCGCTTGCATAATGTTATCATTCATTCAGAAAATAGGTTTCTACTCACGGTGAAACTCCCACGGCGGCAGAGCCTTGGCAGCCGCGGCTCTCGAAGGAAGGACCGCCATCAGGAACATATACACAGCTGTCACACATGTTCTGGCACACAATGCCATTGCAATCCCTCCTCTGCTCTCAGGTTTCTGGCCGAGATACAGATGATAAGCTGTTTCTTTACTCTTGCGGTTCTCGTGAATTCTCGTCAAAGACACACACAAACACGCGAAATAAAAAAAACTGTCATATATCCCCCACTGTCTTCTTGAGTAAATGTATCCTCGCGTAGAAACCAGCATGGAGAGCAATGCGCGCACGCCACTTTGTCACTTGGCTGAAGAACAGGACAGACGTCGCGGGGAACACAACTGGTTCTGAGCCCAGCCAGACCAGCACTGACGCATTACGCTTGTCACGTCCGCCGATTACCGACTCCTTTTCTTTTTGTCCCGGCGTCGTGCCTCGCGGCTGACTGGTGGCGTTCGGGCTGCTCTTGTTTGCTTCCTGGCTGCGTCCGCGCGGGCCGCTTGAGGCGGAAGGGGGTTTAAAAGGCGGCTGAAGATGACGGAGGGGGGGGGGGGGAGGTGGCACTATGGGAGCGCGGTGAGTCACGCTGGTTCTAGAAGGGTTTCCTTTGGGGTTGTTAGCTTGCTTTTATCCAACAAAGAAAGTGGAATAACCTTTGTGTGATAAGTGGTTTAGAGACTGATTAACGTGCATTAGCGCCTGTAATCGTCGCGCAATATAATTAACGCGTCAGGGTGCCTTACGTGCGTACCTGCGTTTGTTTGTTGGCGTGTTTTATTTGAGTTAGTTTTTGTGCGTGTGTGTTTGTGTGTGTGTGTGTGTGTGTGTGTGCGTGTGTGTGTGTGTGTGTGTGTGTGTGTGTGTGTGTGCGTGTGCGTGTGTATGTGCGCGCGCGCGTGTGTGTGCGTGCGTGTATGCGCGCGCGCGTACAAGCGACTGTGCTTGCATGCATTCGTGAGTGAGACCAGTTTAAAAGAGAACAATTAAAATGACACTTTGTTGATATTATCACTCACATTCAGCTTAAATAGTTTTGGTAATGAAACCGAGAGAGTAGTTGGAATGACCTTTCCTCACCAGAATGATAGACACTAGACCGATAAATACTCTTAAGTTCTCTCCAGTCCCCTTATTCGCGTAGCAAAGGGCTGCAAAGAACATATTTCTTGTGTCTTGTTGAAAAAACAAGCTTTATATTGCATATGCCAAAATAGAAAATAGACATGTGAGAGATCATTGTGAAATGATATACGTAAAGTAAGCTAAAGGAATACACAGTACGTAAGATTTAAATATTGTTTTGTGTAATAAATGCAGAGTTAAATTTTGCATACGGTTAAGACTACTATCTAGTGTTTATTTCAAATTAAAGACGCTCAGTGTATTAAATTAGATCGGGCGTAATTTAAAAAAATGCAGAACGTTTGTTTAGTGTTCATTAAAGAAATTCCTTTTGTCTCGCCATCTATTCCTTTGAGATCCTTTTGAATTATAATGTTGAGATGGTTATAAATTAAGGTCATATATGAAAATGTGTACAATGTTTATATGGGTTGCTTAAACAATCTGAGTATTCTTGGTATTAAAAAAGTTTAATTCTCACTATTATGAAGAAAACTTTAGTATACCTTATAAACGTAAATAGAAAACGGATAGAGGGACCATTTTCTTCTTTACTGAGGAAGGGTAAACTTTAACATTTAGTACATTATTCACATTTGTATTATTTAAATACCTACTTTATATTCTCTTCACTGCTACCCATCAAAACCATGGAAAAAAATACTTATTTGCGATGCCGAAATCGTTGTGAATGTATTAGCACCGATGTCCGCCATAAAGTTGTATGCAAAGTTGGATAGGTCGAAGTGGCTCACCTATATAGAGATATAATTAAACTAATTCATATGGATCGGGGAAATCTGACGATGATACTGGTTTTGCAATGTGTGTTTTATGGAGACAAAACGAGGCAAAGCTGTAGGTTAGAGTCCATATTAGGGCAGAAATCTCCAAACCACATTATCTGAGTCATCACTTCACCCTCTTTTTATCTCTTTTTTTTTTGTGTAGCTCCTTGTGCCAGGGCGTTTGAGGGTGGCGGCCCTGTAGCAGGCAGCGCCCGTGTGATATATAGGAGCAGGTGGTCGAAGGATTCTTTTCTCTAGGATTTTTTAAGTCATCCTTTTAGGGAGGGAAGCACGTTTTCTGTGGTAAGTCCGGACTCCCGAATATCCTTTTGAACCCTGCAGTCCTCTGCCATGTTGGCGATCGTTGTGTGGGTTCTTGAGTTCTTAGTGATGCTTTCGTAGCAAAGAAAGTCGTATATTGCGTAAAAAATGGCGGAAGGATTATGTCACGTAAGGCCCGTAGGCATGTTTATTACTGTTTTATTGATTTGTTGTTATTGTTTTTATTTTTTGAGCCTGCAGTTTTTCCTTATTACTTTTTGACATTTTTATCACTTGTATATATATATATATATATATATATATATAATATATATATATATGTATGTATGTATATGTATATATTAGCTATAACTAAAATTGTTTCGTAAAAAAAAACAGCACAGCGGCCGAGGCTGGAGCGGGAGGACTCGTCCATCTCCCGAGGCCGCCCTGTTCCACTTCTCGGTTCCATTTCTAATGCACGTCTTTGTTCCACTGATAGACATCGCGGTATCCTCATCCCTGCCCCACTGTTCCACGTCCCTGTTCCACTGCTCCACATGCCTATTCCATTGCTCTGCATCCCTGTTCTACTGCTCCAGATTCTTATTCCATTGCTCTGCATCCCTGTTCCACTGCACTACATCCCAGTGTTTCTGTCCCACATCGAAGTTCCGCTGCTCCCCCTCCCAATTCCACATCGCGGTCTCCTCATCTCGACCGAACCTCCCGCTCGGTGGAGTTTCGTTTCCTCGCAAAGTCGGCCTCCCTGCGGGAGTCGCAGTCTGGCGCCGCGGCCCCGATGCCTCGCTCCGGCCGACTTTATTCCGCCAAGTCGGTCGTTCCGGGAGGAGGCTCTCTTACGCGGCGGATCGGCAGGTCGTGCGAGCGCCGATGGGGTAATTGGTGGTTGGGGGAGAAGGGGTGGAGGTGGGGGGCGGGGAGCTGGGGAGGGAGAGGAGGGAAGAAGTAGGAGGGGGAGGCATGGAGGAGGAAGGAGGGAGGGAGGGGAGGAAAGGGAAGGGAGAGCAGTGGGGCAGGAGGAGGGAGGGAGCTTAGGGACAGGAAGAGGAGGAGGAGAGGGGGGAGGGGGGTAACGGATTGCTACGGCGGAGGAATTGAGTTCGCTTGACAAGTAGTCGTTCGCGTCTCTCAGCGCGGGACGGATGCTTAGCGACGGAGGGAGTCGTGTGGGGAAGGTCGCTCTGTTTAACGGGTTGAGGAAGAGATGGGCGTTGATTTTTTTTTTTTTTTTTTTTTTTTTAATCTAAGGGTAACGGAGAGAGAGAGAGAGAGGGAGACTGAGGGTGAGTGAGTGGGAGAGGAAGGAGAGGAAGTGGAAAAGGAAGAAGGGGCGGGCGAGGGTGAGTATGAAGGAGAGGGAAAGAGAAAGTAAAAGAATGGGAGTGAGTAGGAGAGTTCGAACGAGAGGGAGAGGGAGAGGTTGAGGGTGAGAGAGAGAAGCAGAAAAAAGGAAGAATGTAAAGATGTAAGATATGAAAAGTACGTTATGATGTCCCAGTTTAATGAGAAGTTCCTGTTTTACACATTTTTAGAATATAAAAGTTACAGGAGCCATCACCCGCAATTTTGATTTTCTCTCCATTCTAGACTACGGTGGAATGCGGGAATGCGAACCTTGAGTAGAGGGAAGAGAAAAAGATTTTTTCTTTGTAAACGGAACATCAAAATGAAGAATATAATTGCTCCTTTACGACAAAAACAAAAACAAGATAATAATGATAAATGGATAGGTATATGAAAAATAAGAAATAAAAAAAAGATAAATAGATACATAGATAAAAATATATAAATAAATAGGATGTGTTTGTAAACGAGATCTAGGAAACGAGGAACACCAAGCGACGATGCTTAACGAAAAGGATTGTTCGCCCCGTTTCGCTGGATGGATTGAAATTTAAGGAATAAATGCCGCGTGGGAAGTTAGCTTTGGGATCTTAGGGAAGAGGAAGAGGGAGAGGAAGGAGAAGGAAAAGGGGGAGGTGAGGGTGAGGGAGTAGAAGAGCGAGAAAGAGAAAGAAGGAAGGAGAAGAGGAAAAGATATAGGGAGAGTAAGAAGTAGTAGGGGAAGAGGGGAGAAGAATGAGAAAAAGCAGAGAAGGGGGAATTAAGTAAGCAGTATATATTTGGTTGGAACATTATCTCTTACAGTCTTGAGAGTATGAGGCAAGAGCGTGGAAACCAACATGGCTGAAGACTGAGAGCGGTGGTAATTCGTTTTTTTTCTTTTCTTCGTTTTCTTCCCCTTCTCCTGTTTTTCTTTTTCTTCCTTCCTCTCCTCTTCTTGTTTTTCCTCTCCTTCTCTTTTTCTTTTCCTCCTCCTTTTTTGCCAAAGGCTCCTCTTTTTTTTTTTTTCCTCTTCCCCTCCTCCGTCTCCGTCTCCTCCTCCTCTCCTTTTCCCTCTTTTTTTGCCAAAGGCTTACCAAGTGGCAAAACCTCCAGCAAAGTCCAGACTCCAGACTCGGCGACCTTGGCGTGCTTAAAGCTGACACCCACGTGGTTCCTTGTCTTCGGCGATTGCCTCGCGAGGGAGGCCTTCGTCTCGGGGGAGGGGGGTGTCGGGGGAGGACGGGGGTGGTTTCCGGGGGCAGGGGCGGGGAGGGAAGGCAAGGGGAGTGGAGGAGGAGGAAAAGAGGGAAGGAAAGGAGGGAATAAAGAAAGGGAAGGGAAAGAAGATAAAAAGGAAGGAAAAGGAGGAAGCAAAGTAGCGTAAAAAGAGGAAGACAGGGGGATGGATTGTCTCCCGAAGAAGGAAGAGGGAAAGAAGGAAAGGAGAGGAGGAAGAGAAGTAGGAAAAAAAAGGAGGGAAAGAAGATGCACATTGGGAGGAGAAGAATGGGACAAAGAAAAGGAAAAAGAGGAAGACGGGGATGGATCGTCTCCCGGGAAAGGGTCGGGAAGAGGGAGTGGAAATGGAAAAGAGGGAAGGAAAGGAGGGAATAAAGAAAATGAAGGGAAAATGGAAGAAAACGAAGGAAAAGAAGGAAACAGAGACGGAAAAAGAGGAAGATAGGGGGTGGGTTGTCTCCGCGGAGAGATAGGCGGGCGGGGGGGGGGGCGCTCTGGAGATCCTCGCCAGCCTGGAGTGCGTGACAAAAAGGAAAAGAAGAAAAAAATGAAGTAAAAGATAAAAAGAAAGAAAGAAGAGAAACAGACAACAAAAAGGGGGAAACTATGAGAAGGAAATG